AAAATAAAATAATTAAAACTTACCTCAAATTTAAACCATTCTGAGTTCCACTGAGGGTTGAGGGACTTGAGATACACATCTGTTTTAAAGGTGGTATTACCAAATTTTACCTAAAAACAAATAAATGATCAAATATAAATATCAAAAAATGTGAATAAAAGTAAATTTTAACATCAGGCAAGCAATGGGGGGGGGCGGGGGGGGAATGAACCATGAAGGAGGAAAAAAGGCAACTATCCCCTGAAATAAAAGAGAAGAAAGCACAGATAGGTCCAGTAAGTTCATAGGCTATACCTGAAATAAGAAATTACTCACTCTTCGACTAGCTCTACACAGAAATTAAAACCAGACCATTTTGTTAATATGAAGGAAGGAGTCAATATAGCCTTCAGGAATAAAAGTTCAGACAAAAGAGGAGTCTTAATGGCAGAGGACCAGCAAGAATAAAATCAGAAGGTAAAAAAGCCAACTGACCATCCTCTCACCATCTCAGCATGAGAATCCAGAACTATAGCACATTATTGTGAGAACTTAGAAATAGCCTTGTGAGGGTCTGGGTGGCTCAGTCAGTTGAGCGTCCAACTCTTGATTTCAGCTCAGCTCATAATTTCACAATTTGTGGGTTCGAGCCCTGCATCAGCCTCCATGTTTAAAGTGCAGAGCCTGCTTGGGATTCTCTTTCTCCTCTCTCTGCTCCTCCCCTGCTCACTCGCACCCACCCTCTCTCAAAATAAACTTAAAACATATATATGTATATGCCTTGTATTTTCCAACTTCCCCGTTTTGTTATTTTTTTAAGCCCTTATAAGTGTGCACACATAATGATCAGCAGCAAACCATTATCATTAAGGGTTTTATCTTCAGGAACAATGTAAGGGATTGGATGGGGAGACTATCTTATTTCACAGCCAGTCTTGGCATACACTACATCACAAAGATCCAAGGGGCACCTCGGTGGCTCAGTCAGTTAAACGTCTGACTCGATTTCAGCTCAGGTCATGATCTCACAGTTCATGATGAGATTGAGCCCTGCATCATAAAGCCCACTTGGGATTCTCTCTCCCCTTCTCTATCTAACCTTCCCACACTCGAGCATGCTCTCTCTCTCTCAAAATAAATAAACTTTAAATCACAAAGATCCAAAATAAGAAAGGAATGAAGAATGCAAAAAGCAAACTAAATCCCTGGGGCTTGCTTCAGACAAAGAATGGAGATTATGAAATCTGACTGAACCCGAGAAGTCGTCCAGAAGCTTCAAAGCAAAACATCTAGGGAACTACTATTTCCTAGATGGTCTTGCCTTTCCTAAATTTGATCTCTGCTCTATTAGTTTTTACCATTATCTTTCCTAACCTCTAAGTTCACTAAAGCTTATCCCCTTTAAGACAATACCCAGGACATAGTTTTGCATACTGTAGATTCTTAGTAAATGCTAGTTCAAGCAAATAATCTATGAAACCTCCTTTCTTTTTTGCAAGAAATCTCCATTGGTTTTATAATATTTGCTTTTGTTGTTCTATCAGTTCAGGAAATTTTCTAAAAGCAAAAAAAAAAAAAAATTATCTTCTGTATATTTTTTTCTAGGTGTTTTATCATTTAATTTGAATTATTAGGCACAATACCAAGTACTAAATATGTACTTAGGCAGCATAGTTAGAGGGTAGAAAAGGTTTAAGAAATTCAGTAAAAATAAGAACTTTTTGCATGGCAAAGTATATAAAAGGGGCGCCTGGGTAGCTCAGTCAGTTAAGCATCCAACTTCAGCTTGGGTCATGACCTCAAGGCTCCTGAGTTCAAGATCCGCGTTGGGCTCTGTGCTGACAGCTCAGAGCCTGGAGCCGGCTTCAGTTTCTGTGTCTCCCTCTCTCTCTCTGCCCCTTCCCCACTTGCACTCTGTGTGTGTGTGTCTCTCTCTCTAAAATAAATAAACATTAGAAAAAATTTTTTTTAAAAATATAAGAAAGTCAAAAATAGGGGTGCCTGGCTGGGTCAGTCAGTGGAGCATAGGACTCTTACTATACTTTTGATCTTAACCAAAAGGCCGAGAAGCGATGGGGAACAAGCAACTCTTGATCGCAGGGCTGTGAGTTCAACCCCTCATTGGGTGTAGAGATTACTTAAAAACAAAATCTTTTTTACATAAAGAAAGTCAAAGATAAACAAAACACTGAGACAAAGTATTTGCTAAATATGTACCAAACAGCTACTTTCCTCAATTTTTAATGAGCTCTTATAAAGCAGTATGAAAAAGATCAACAACCCAACAAAAAAATGGGCAAAGGACATGAACAGACAATTCAAAGAAACAGAAATACAGATGGTTTTTATTTATCTATTTAATATAGATGTTTTTAAAGTACAGTTAACCCTTGAACAACATGGGTTTGAACAGCACGCATCCACTGTATAGGCAGATTTTTTCAGTAAATATACTTGAGAACTTTTTGGAGATTTGTGACAAATTGAAAAAACTCATAAACAAAATGAATAGCAAAAAAACCCCCAGAAATAGCAAATAAACTAAGAAACAGTTATGTCAGGAATGCATAAGATATATGTAAATACTAGTCTATTTTATCACTTACTACCATAAAATACACACTAACTATAAAAAGTTAAAACTGATCAAAACATGCAAAAAAAAAAAAAA